CCCCCCCCCCCCCCCCCATCTTTGTCAGCTAGTTCTGAGCAGCATTTCCACATCAAACAAATGCAGAGGCAGAACAAGGACACATGAGAGTCTGATTTATGCTGATTTGAACTCAACCAATGTCAAGTCTATGATACTTTCAACGCTGTATTTAGACACCTGCAAGGCCTGAGCAAAACCTCTTAAGATTGCATTAGCGGCTGAATCTAAAAGACACAGTCTTCTGTACACAGTCCATGGTTGTTCAAAAGCTGCCATGTTATAATTCAACATTATCTCTGTTTTTCAAAGCTGTATTTATAAACCCAAGGTTTCTGATATTTCTTAAAAAAAAAAAAAACGATATATTATGAAAGCGTGGCTGGCTGCATAAAGTAAAAAAAAAAAAAAAAACGATGCTATATTATTGTCCCAAAGTTTTTAATCATTTTATCTTTCATAAAGAACCACAGCATGATTATGGATTAAACACAAAGTCAAACTAACTCATTCAGTATGTTCCACACTTTTGAGCATCAAAGAAGATTATTGTTGTATAGTTGAAGAGTTTTTCCATAATTAGCAGTTTAGTTGATTAACTCTTCTTGAACTCATTTGGATTCAGTTAGTCTCTAATCTGTTAATTCCGTTCTCACACCAGTCATAATGTGACACATTTTCATCCCTAAACATCCCCTGTGTCTTTCTCAGCAGCTATTAATTTATTTTGTCATGTTCAAAGTGTTCATGTCTGGAAAATGGCACCACAACACAACAAAACTGTTATGCACTTAGACAACACAGTCAAACGTTCACAAACTTCAAACGCCATAAAAACAACACTTTATAAAACTGTATTCTTTCAAACACAACATTGTCATGAATGTAGGCTGTGACTGTATTAAACTCACACAGGAAAAAGAAAAGAGACCACCAGTTTGAAACAGGTCATGACTCACAGCAGTTTTATACAGGGCCTCAGTTTACAGGCTGCCCAACAGCAAAGACAGTGAATAGCGAATTTGAACAGTGCTGAGACTAAAGGTTTAAATCAGGGGTGGCGAACGTCGGTCCTGGAGAGCCACAGCCCTGCAGAGTTTTGCTTCAACCTTAATCAAAAACTCCTGAACAAGCTAATCAAGGTCTGATGGGTTACTAGGAATCTACAGGCAGGGGAGTTTTAATTAGGGTTGGAACTGTGCGGCTCTCCAGGACCGGAGTTCGCCACCCCTGGTTTAAATGCATCACAGCATTTCACAAGAATATAGAGACACTTTTTCTAGAGACCATGAAGACATAACCTTGTTGTATTTAGAAAAATACTTTGACCTAGACAGTAAGGCAATGCCTCATAATATAATATAATATAATATCTAAAATGGCAGTCAGTTGGAATTAACCTTTTTGTTACATTTTTAAGGTGTCCTTGATACAGTGTAATTATACATTGAAGTACTGAGCTATATTAATTAATATTAATTAATTACCACCTTTTTTATGGAACTTAATATTGTACAACAACAATATTACTTGTATTTGTTATTTCGTCTTAGCTCTTCGTTATATTTCTGCTTGAAGAATCAGTCTTCAGAAGACAAATATTGTTTTTCATTTTAGTCTCTTCCTGTGGTTTGGCTGGTGCTCCAAAAGGGATTTGAGAACAAGGCAGAGAGCCTCTGGTTCATGCCGGCTGAATGAACAGCCCAGAATGGCGTGTAATGTGAACAGCCGGTATTTCTGTATGTTGGTTTTACAACAAAGCTAAAAAGATTTGTCTTTGAGTTAGCTGATACTGTTTATGAATTTTGCGTCTAAATGCTGCAGTATAAATCCTGCAAACAAACTTTATCAAAACATCACAAAACTCTAGAACGGACACACACCCCAAGCACATACATTACATGACACATGCTAAAATGCATGTGTCCAACATAAACACACAATCACGTATTCACATTCTTCATCTCTAGTGTAATAAGTGTTTATATTTCTCTGTCAGGACCAAATTTGTCTAATCTATATTTCATGTCAGTCCTGGATTCCTCAGTTGCAGTATCTCTTCATGAAAACACTTCAATGACTTCAATGTCATTACAGAGTCTTTGATTCTTCAGCAGGAACTGACAAGGAAAGGTTCTGCTTTCTGACATTGTTGTTTGATGTCAGTTCTCATACTTTTCCATGACATAATAAATGTCACATTATAAAATCTGATTACATCCATTCATTTGTAAATTCACCATAAACATGGCAAATGTTTTGAATATGTTTTGTGTATGGCAGATTTAGGTATGTTTACATCTCATTTAATACTGCTGATGACAACTTGTTTTTACAATGTTCGTCACACACATGCAAAGTCACATTCTTGTGGTAGTTGTAACTTGTAGTTATGTGCTGCAGCAACTTGTGCTTTTAACATACTCAATGGTATCAAAATTCACATTTGAGGTGTGATTGTTATGTTGCAAGAAATCATTTTAATTCAACTTTATTTTGCTCCAAATTTGAAAACGGCTATTCAAATAACCCATAGCAATTTCCTGAGGGCACCCATGGCTTATAAATGCCTTCCAGGGTTTTTTGGTGTACAGCAGGAATGATAGATATTGTCTCTTAAGAGTTGGGTGGTCCCATGTAGCTCTTTGCAGAGTTGCTGACTATATAGTTTAAAGGGTTATTGAGCAGTTTTATAGGTTTTAGGCAGCTGAATGAAAGAGAGATGCTGCAGGATGCATCTAATAAGCTGCAGTTACACTACACTTGCGAATGATTACAGATTCAAACTACTTGAAATTGACACAAGGAGATTAAGACTTGAACTTTATTAATAGTGACAGTTGTGGCAGTTTTTTTAAGTGAAACTTTCTGACAGTTCCCAACAATAGCCTCTAACTGCTGGTGTCAAGGCCACAACACTGAGGTATTGTTCTCTCTTTTCACTTTTCCTTTACAAATATTGATGTCTCACATTACTGCCATGTCATTGGTGAGTTACTGTGACAATGACATTTTGAAAAACTGCCAAAAAAGGCTAAACCTGTCCCAACTTCTCAAAAGTTTCCTCAGTCAGAATGTTTTCGTAGGAACCTGAACAGATACAGTATTTGGTAAGGATAACTGGAAAGGACATCTCATTTTATTTCTTCCATGCTTTCGTTACGGCTGAATCCTTTTCCACCTTCTCTTTATTACCTTCACAGATAAACAGATATCAATTGGTGAGTCCACACATATACAGTTACATCATTCATAAGATGTGGATATGTGACAGTGAACTACAGCTGAACCACTATTCAAAGGAAAACAGTTAATTTTCAGAAGGACTGTGACTGACTGGTCAAGTTCACTGCAGTCTACTTGTCATCTCTACTACATCCTGAAATTTAACTTTTTTGCTTTAATGGTAAAAGCTTTAGCTTCTCAACCTGTTGGTGTCAAATACATTTATATTCTAGAGTTTGTCACTTACTATTACTAGTCAGAAGGAGATGGGTCACAAACTGTGGTTATGTAAGAGTAAAAAACAAATAGAAATGTATTTTTAAAGAACAGATCATCTTTTACTCTACTTTGACTCATAAAGTATCAATGACCTAATGTTGTCACTTGGGCTCTAGCCAAACACATCATCACATTTTTTTTTCATGCAGAAACATTCAGCCCCTATAAGGATTCCAGAGAAAATACGTGCCTACAGTTCTAAAGTAGACTGTAAATTCAATAGGGGACTTCAGAGTCATTAGGCATATGACAAATATATTATTGTTTTGTGAATAATACATTCTGTCTGTTCTCTCCACCGAATGATGAACTTCTATTTCTTCTTAATTGGGTGGTGGCACAGTTAAAATTTCTAGGTTGGTTCTTATTTTAAATAATCCCTGGAAGGGGAGAGATGTATGAAATCGAGAATTTCTCAGTTCCTCTATCATTGCGACCTTAAGCAAGACAATTTTTTGGACAAAAAGCATTCATTAAGTGATGAATAACTGAACCCACAGTCAAGGAGAAGTCAGTGAGAGTCAAGTTTCTCTCTAGAGGTAGATAAGTGTGTGTGCAGATGGGCACAGAGTCTTGTTTTTACATCCCTGAAATGTAAGATTTTCTCCTATGGACCCAGCATAAATTCCCACGGGAACCTCTGGTCTGCTTTGGTAAAGGGAGCAGAACAATCCTCTATCCCTTTTCACATTCACCAGAAACATCAGCTCATACAATATGCTGAATCAAATATGTATAGGATTGTGTTTCACACGGAAACTGTAGCTTGATTAGTAAACCAGGGAAGCAGGTTTTTCCCACCCACTATTCTTTCTATTCATCCACATGCCCATGTGTCCCAAAGCGGATCCCTGAATCAGACAAAGACCCAATGCATCTCTGTGATTTAGCAAATTAAAAAGGTTGATCCACAATAGGAACTTCAGCATTAAAGAATCATCTTTTTATTTACATATTTTATGTCACATTGACATTGGACTTCCTCCAGTAGACACTTTAATGCATCTATGCTTTCTCTAGCAATGTCATTAACTCTGTGACACTGCAAACTCTCATACAAGCACTTCAAACTGGTATATTTCAAAGAAACTTGAATCATGTAAATAATGTAAACTTTACCCCAAACCAAAGTGTTGTTTTTTATATGCTAGTAATATGCATACTAATAGCAACTAGATAATAGTGAGAATTTGTCCCTAAAGTGTTACCAGCTAAATAATAGGAATTATTTGATTGTTTTGTTATTACATTCATCTAAACCCACACAACTCATTTACATATTGGATATATTCATTAGAATAGATTGTTTGTTTGTTTTCTGCCAACACATTTGTCAACCTTAATGGCCTTTTCACATTAGTTGGTCCTTTCCTGTACTAAAACATTGACTGTTTCATTTGGCTTGTTTAGTACCCAGCTCCATTTACATCAATAAACAAACAGGTGACTGCAGACTCCCTGGAGGTATCATTCATCACTGCGGCATAGCATGACAGGTAAACTCACCATGAGGAACATGATCCAAACCACAGCACCACAATACTAACCAAACAGAAAGTCTGCCTACAGCTACAAGCATACGTCTGCAGATTTGACGACAAGAGAACATTGTTCATTAAATCTCAAGAAGCTTTATCAGCTGCTGCTTTAAAAGCACTACTTTTTATTATATCACAATACTCTATCTGTTAAATAAAGTATTCAATGGCAGCACATACATTTAATATTAAGCATATCATAAATATTATTAGTATAATAGTATTTATAATGATTGCAAGAAACACAGAAGCATACGGAAATGTTATGTTACACTGTATCTGCCAAAGAGCAGAAATGTATGTAGACTTGTCCCCTGGCTCATCTTATAAAAGCTCTGGTTTTTTGTGTTAATGCCACAGGAATGTAAGACTAAACAAACGGAATTGTTCTATACAGGCTTTAGCAGAAGATAAATGAACAAGATTTCTGTTTTTAGGGAATACTCATTTTAGTATTTAGTCTGTTTTTCTTTTGTATTGATGATATCTTGCAGCAAAAACTGAGAATAATGTAACTTTGTAAACCCATCCTCCCTTCTCATTTTTTACCATCTGTTTCTTCTGTTGGCTCAGAGATCTACTGCTGTCCAATAATATGAGAAACCAGAGGAATGCAGCTGAGACAGTGTTTCTCACGTCAGAGCCTGTAGGAAAGAGATAGAAGCCAAGTCTATTCCCAGAGGCAATGTACACCATCATTCCCTGCAGATACTGTACATAGCAGGAACCAAAAGATTTTAGATGGTGCTCTCGACAAAAAAAAAAAAAAAAATCTACATTTGGTGCTACACAGAGTTATTGTTATTAAACGAGAAAGTTAAATTAACAGATAGTGACCTGTCCATGACACAAGTGCCCAAAAATCAAACTTGACTGTGGGCCATGGGCCTAAAGTAAATGTTGCGCGGTATCCAATTCTATTTGATTGAAATGTACAAAAATCAAATTCACTTATAATCCCACTATGCCATTATATAAAACTAAAAGTGTTAAAACAAAAGGAAACATTTTCCCTATTTTCCCCTTCTCTTGTGGTATATCACGGCAAATTAATGTTCATCATGGACCAGGTTGGGATATCTGGCTTTGGGTCAAACTTTAGACAGATGCTTATTCCGTTTATTGTTCTATATATTTTCACACAATTGGTGCATAGTTTTCCATCATATGGAACTTGTACATATAAAAGTTTTCCACAAACTGTATAATTGTGCTTATATGGGGTGATAAATGTTTCATATTGATACTATCTGGCAATAAATAAATAAATAAATGGAAATGGAGTGTTGTATATAATATTTCCTGAAAGCCCACCTTTGTGCTTTGTGTTTTTTTTTTTTGTACAGATGCTTTTGTTTCTCACATGTTTCACATGTTCTCATTTTTTAAGCTCAAATGGGTTTATGCCACTGATCTACATATAATGATGGCTTCGCTTTCATGACATCATGAGCAATCCAGTTTATTATAGATCAGTGGTTTATGCAGAGGATTTCTTTTGAATGTGTAAGGTCTGTTTGAGCTCATAAATGTGAAAATAGGTGAAATGCTTCCTGAACACCACTGGTTTATTTAACAATGTCAGCTTCTCTCTCTACTCTCTCCCAAACCGAGAACAAAAAACAGTTCAGGAAGACAAACAATTCTATGGACAATTGAAGCTGTTTACCTCTGTGGAGATGGAAGGACGGTGGAGGAGGAGATGGGAAAAGAACATATCCGTCACAGGCCGAGTTATCAGCCAGACTCAAAGGATCGGAAAAGAGAGGCTTTCAGGATGTCCTTTAGTAAACAGTCAAGCTAATCAGAGCCACTATACATCAGTGAAAGCCGAAAGCCTAATTAATATCAACATAAATCAAACCTTAACATGTAATGGGAAGCTTATAATGCCGGATTCATCTTAAATGGTAAATATTTGTTAAAGCTCTGCTTAAATGATTTAACATGAAATGAAAGCATCTGCACACCCTGCAGATCAAGGAAACCTGAGCTTTTGTTCACTTCCCTGTAGGTATTTCATTCACATCACCAAAACATCCAAATATTCTTTTTCAATTACAAATGAACAATGATATGTATGTTTATGTGAAATGTCCAACTACTTGCAGAACACCTGTGGTGAATTATAAACCACACCTTTGGTTTCACTATCTTTGAGAGGGAAATGATGTGTATTGTGATGCTTCAACAAGCTAACAAACTAATTGACAACAACATTTTGTTTTTACATTATTTAAATCCTTTTTGGTTACAGAATTATGAAACATTTCAGACATGAAATGAGATCTTTATCTGCCAGGTGTAGGCTTACTCAAACACACACTTAATGAAATCGGTAACCTAAGCTTCCAGAACAGTAAGGTCAGTATAAGATCGATAATAAGATACATCATCAGGGTCAAATGATTTGGGTCTTTTAGGTGCAGATATCAGAAGGTTTTCTTATTTTCCAATCGCGCCACCTCTTGGCGATAATGACAGGACGCATGACTTTTGTTTTGAAAGGCGTGTGTGAACGCGGAAGTGTGCAGCAGTGGCAGAGGCAGCATGGCGTACTCGGCGAAAATAGGACCGTCTATTTTGAGCAGCGATCTGTCGCAGCTCGGGAGGGAATGTGAGCGAATGATGGAGTGCGGTGCTGATTATTTGCACCTTGACGTTATGGATGGGTGAGGAATAAAGTTTGGAATTCTTCATCTAATTTTCTCACCCATTGTTGACCTGCAGGCATTCATAGCGATCATATGGCCCAGAGAACCAATACCATTATTACTCAAGTCTTTTACCAAGAACATTTAGTTATCCCACATTTTGGCACAGGAATGATACAACATGAATTCACCCATGCTGTGTCACAATTTTGAGGAATGTTACAAGAAGTCATTCACAGCTTGGCACTGCTGTGAGACAATTATCTTACTTCCCTTTTTAAATTTTTACACCAAGTTAAGTGTTGACTGGATCAGTCAAGCAAGCATTCAGACTGTTCACCCAAATTATTGTATGAAATGTATATATGCTACAATGTAAAAGTTTTTCAGTTTAAAAAAAAAAAAGTTTTTGAAAGAAGTCTCTTAAGCTCACCAAGGCCGCATAAAAAAAATTCTGAACACAGTAACTTATGTGTGTGAAATATTATTACAATTTAAAATGTTGTGTAAGTTATCCATGTGATGCAAAGCTGCATTTTCAGCAGTCATTACTCCAGACTTCAGTGTCACATGTTTCTTTAGAATTCATTCTAATATGCTGATTTGGTGCTCTTTTTATTATTATGATCAATGTTGAAAACAGTTGTGCTGCTTAATATTTTTGTCAGGATTTTTTAGGGGGTGCCAGGGGTGATTATTTGATGAATAAAAAGTTCAAAAGAACAGCATTTATTTAAAATAAAAATCTTTTGTAAAATTATAAATGTTTTTACTGTGACTTTTAATCAATTTAATGCATCCTTGCTGAACAAAAGTACTACATTTTCACAAAAAAACTAAAATCTTACTGACCCCAAACTTCTGAACAGAGTATATAGTTTTGGTCCCAAACTACTTTGCCCCTTCTGTGACTACTAATTTAGGCTATACATTTTGCAACTCTCTTATCCATTCTGCATGGTGTCTATTTAATTTTGAGTTCAGGCCCTGTTTTGTACCATATTAATTTAAAGTGCCACATATACAGGAGGTGATAAAAGTTGATGAGTTGCGTGTCAGAAGACATCTAACTCTTCTTTCTTCAATCTCTTTCCTTCATCTTTAAATTTACTTAAGGCATTTTGTTCCGAACATCACATTTGGGCATCCTATGGTGGAATGTTTACGACACAGTATCGGACCTGATCCATTTTTTGGTGAGTTTAGTCATTGTAAAATTGCATCTACTCTAGTTTGTTTCATTTGAGGTGCAAATAATCTGGCCCTCTTCTTTGAGACAGTTTTGTTAGTAATCCACTAAAGTAGACACAGTGGGTTCTTTCATCTTTTCACTCTCTTTCTGTATTCCTAAATAAACATTGCGTCTAGGATAAACCAGATAAGTGAAACATTGCAGTGTTTGCTCTGTGTAGGTTTGAAGGCTTTGCTTACCCTTTGCCTTATTACAGACATGCATATGATGGTATCCAGGCCTGAGCAATGGGTGAAGCCCATGGCAGCAGCAGGAGCCAGTCAGTACACTTTCCATCTAGAAGCCACGACCAACCCTGGCAACCTCATCAAGGAAATCAGGGAGAGCGGCATGAAGGTCTGTGCAAAACAGCCAATTTTGTAAATATATATAATGATTAACACGCTTACCAATTTGCACTGTAAAGCACGTAAAATATAGAGAAAGCATATCATATAAAAAATTAATTAAATAATTTTATTCATTTAATTAATTTTTTGAGCATATTTTTGTTTATATTATTGGCAGATGTTTTGCGGCTTTGACTGCTATGACCTTATGGCGCCCTCTGCTGACTAACAAAGGATTTTTTTTCGTAACGCATGTTATAAGTTGCATAAATTAAACTGAGGCTAAGACTTGTGATAATTTAATTTGAGCAGAACAGAAGGAATTTTACTGGTTTAAAGGAGGTGTCAGCAAACTCTTATTAGCAACTCTTATTTTGATAAAAATCTTATATTTGTGAACTACCTTGAAATGCTTATAGTATAAATTGTAGCAACAGTTTTGCATGTTTTTCATGCAGGTTGGTCTTGCCATTAAACCTGGAACAACTGTTGAGGGATTGGCACCATGGGCTGGACAGATTGATATGGCTCTTGTCATGACTGTAGAGCCTGGCTTTGGTGGTCAGAAGTTTATGGAAGATATGATGCCAAAGGTACGCAAGTGTACAATCTATTAGTCTCATTTAGATTCCTCAGACAACACACTAAAGATGCAGGTGTGTCCACAGGTGAGCTGGCTCAGGAGTCAGTTCCCTTCTCTGGACATTGAAGTGGATGGAGGAGTCGGTCCAGACAGCATCCACAGATGTGCCGAGGTATAGCTGTCCTTTACTGCATACATATTCATTAGAGATTATTTGAAGAAGTGTTTTACTCATCTTTATTAATTTCTCTGACATTTCTAGGCTGGAGCCAACATGATCGTATCGGGCAGTGCTGTGGTGAGCAGTGATGACCCTCGTTCTGTAATCGCCCTCCTCAAAAACGTTGTTATTGAAGCGATCCAGAAACGTTCTTTGGACCGCTGAGCATTTTTGAGTTCTTACCTCAAGTCTGTTTTCGGCCACCACTGAAAGTCAGTTCTACAGATTCTAAGAGTCTGTTCTAATGTATACATTTGTTATGGAATGCTCAGTGGTGCTTATGAACGGGCATGACCCATTGCTGGATGCGCTGAAGGTGCGTTTGCACATCTCCAGACCACAAGAACTGCCTTTGCCAAGACTCTTTTTGGATTCATCTGGAGTTTTCAAATGCATATGGCCTTTTGAGAACTTCAAGCAGATTCTATCTACATCTGACCATTCCCCTCTTAATTAACCTCATTTGGTTTGATTAATCACATTTATTGTTTGTCATAGTACCAGTTACAGTGACAACAAATTGAGAAAGCTGCTGCTGATAACCAATTCCAACATTTCAGTGTTATCAGGTTTGTTGGTTAAAGAATGACATTGGAACTAAGCTGCATAAGCTCTACATACTGTACTTCTCATTTGCTGCAGATTATGATTTTTTTTTTCTCCAACATTCCACCAGCCTGTGTTTCTAAAACACTGAAATTATAAAAGTATAAATGAAGAGACCTGTGGTATTTGTCTGTTTTTTTTCCCTCTCTAATGAAATCCTACTGAGCGTAGCATTAACACAACAAGATGTTTCAGACGCTGAAGTCACCAAGTAAATCTACATCTGTTAACAGTTTATCATCTAAACAGATACAATGACACATTTTAAAGTATGAAATGAAATCTCTTTTCTAAATGCATGCAATCTCATTTTGAACGATTCATCTAAGCCATGTTTTTTTTCATTCAGATCTGCTTCCATCTAATCAACTACATTTTTTTTTTCTCACTAGTTTGTTTCACTCAGATGTATGTCTCAATATAGAAGAAAAGTGGTTTAACCCATTTATTAATGTGTGCAATTTTGAAATGAAATATACTGGAGTTAAAGAGGTATTGAAATAAGTTCTCACAGAACAGATGCAGATCAATTTATGTAAATTGTCAGTCCACAGCCAGGACCTCAGGATAGCAGAACCTGTGCCTTCCAAAATATGATCCTTCCCCTTTTTGTGCCATTCTTCGGCCAAATCTCCCAACAGGTCGTATTCCTCTGCCTTTATACCACACTGCATCAATGTTTGGATCTACAGAAAAATAATGGTATTATAAATATGAAGTATTATGCATCTGATATTTTGTATCATACATTTTGTTTTTCAGTAAAATTGTACCTCTTATCTCCATTGAGCGTAATGGTAGATCATCATGAGGTTTTGGCTGCGTAAAACATGCTAACAGCATAAGGATACAGAGCAAAGCACACAGATTTACAGCCATGGCTTTGTGTCTGTCACCTAACAAAGAGAAATGTCACCTGTAAGAAAGAATGAATGGCAAACGGAAGCATATTCATTAAAAAAATAAAAGCTTTCCACTTGACACTTTTGTTTCTATGTTCACATTTATACAAATCATAAAAATTATTTTACTGTTTTTTATTTTTATTTTTTGGTGGCAATTTAATGTTAATTTGAGGCTGCTAATTTCACAAGATTCTTAATTGGAAATAAATATTTGAGTAAAAGTCTTACACCATATTTTGTAAATTACAATATATTTAAACTTACAGGATGTTGCAAGCTGTTCACCTCTTGGTATCTTATTCTGTGATCCTCAGCTGTCAGTTAAAATGATCCTTGAGTGCAGAGGAAGCATAAATGTGTCTTCAAGGTAGCAGTTTTTCAGAGGATTTGTAGTCTTACAGTCTTGTCCTAGCTGTGAGTATAAGAAAACTTTGGAGCATCTTGAGTCGTTCTCAGAGGTTGAGGATATTCTCGTCTGGATCCACTGATAGACTGATCCACCAATTTATACCCCCTCTGGGGGAGGGTGAAGACTGCACAGCTTGCATGTACTCAAAAACATCCTTACACTAAATATGCAAATTATGTGATCATTTGGATATGGAGAACGGTATAACCCAGCATATGTTGCAATTGAGCTTTGACAATGTATCAATGCTGACTGATTCATTGATAGCCATGTTTTTTTTCATTCAGATCTGCTTCCATCTAATCAACTACATTTTTTTTTTCTCACTAGTTTGTTTCACTCAGATGTATGTCTCAATATAGAAGAAAAGTGGTTTAACCCATTTATTAATGTGTGCAATTTTGAAATGAAATATACTGGAGTTAAAGAGGTATTGAAATAAGTTCTCACAGAACAGATGCAGATCAATTTATGTAAATTGTCAGTCCACAGCCAGGACCTCAGGATAGCAGAACCTGTGCCTTCCAAAATATGATCCTTCCCCTTTTTGTGCCATTCTTCGGCCAAATCTCCCAACAGGTCGTATTCCTCTGCCTTTATACCACACTGCATCAATGTTTGGATCTACAGAAAAATAATGGTATTATAAATATGAAGTATTATGCATCTGATATTTTGTATCATACATTTTGTTTTTCAGTAAAATTGTACCTCTTATCTCCATTGAGCGTAATGGTAGATCATCATGAGGTTTTGGCTGCGTAAAACATGCTAACAGCATAAGGATACAGAGCAAAGCACACAGATTTACAGCCATGGCTTTGTGTCTGTCACCTAACAAAGAGAAATGTCACCTGTAAGAAAGAATGAATGGCAAACGGAAGCATATTCATTAAAAAAATAAAAGCTTTCCACTTGACACTTTTGTTTCTATGTTCACATTTATACAAATCATAAAAATTATTTTACTGTTTTTTATTTTTATTTTTTGGTGGCAATTTAATGTTAATTTGAGGCTGCTAATTTCACAAGATTCTTAATTGGAAATAAATATTTGAGTAAAAGTCTTACACCATATTTTGTAAATTACAATATATTTAAACTTACAGGATGTTGCAAGCTGTTCACCTCTTGGTATCTTATTCTGTGATCCTCAGCTGTCAGTTAAAATGATCCTTGAGTGCAGAGGAAGCATAAATGTGTCTTCAAGGTAGCAGTTTTTCAGAGGATTTGTAGTCTTACAGTCTTGTCCTAGCTGTGAGTATAAGAAAACTTTGGAGCATCTTGAGTCGTTCTCAGAGGTTGAGGATATTCTCGTCTGGATCCACTGATAGACTGATCCACCAATTTATACCCCCTCTGGGGGAGGGAGAAGACTGCACAGCTTGCATGTACTCAAAAACATCCTTACACTAAATATGCAAATTATGTGATCATTTGGATATGGAGAACGGTATAACCCAGCATATTGAGCTTTGACAATGTATCAATGCTGACTGATTCATTGATACATCACTGACATTGAAGACAAGGTGCTGAAAAGAAAATTGTGTAGTTTAAGATATTTATTTAGCAGAAAAAAACTTAATATATGAAAAATATATCAGATACAATATTTCATCAAATATATCAAAGAAACTACATAGGAATCTGAATTAAGATATTAAATATTGACTATATTTTCATATAAATAATGAGCTTTTATCAAAACAACAGTTAAGTGTAATGTAGACAAACAATTTCTATTGTGTGCATGATAGAAATGTTCTATTCTAAGAAACAGCAATGCTACAAGGCGAGACTCTCATTTTTCAGAAAAATCTGACACTCATCTAATGAAAGATTAAAGCAAATATCAATCATATATTATTAAACTAGGAGTCCCACAAACCCTTGCAGCTGAATTTATTAACATGAAATATGCTTATGTGAATCTGTCAATGTTCTGTGAGTTTGTATACCATCATGGCCTACTAAAAATAAGTGAAAGTGTGCTAGCTTGCTGAAGTTGCTTCACATGACCAGCTTTCGTAGAGATCTTGCTTCATTGCTGCCTCCTTCAGAGAAAGCAAAAAGAACATTATAAGTAGTAAACAGCTTTTGGTGACTTTCTGAAAAGGCAACCTGTTAAGCAATTCAATTCAATCCAATTCAATTCAAGGCCCTTTCATGACCAAAGGATGTGGGTAGTCGATTTGTTCCAGAAGCTGAGCAAGGGATCTGATTGCTATCAGATTAATGCATTAAAATCACTGTGAACTGTGAAATAAAACTAGGTTTAAATGTCTAATTGTGGTTTACAAATTTTGGGATGTGTATCTGGGAACAGTCTTTATTTGTTTTAGTTCTGAACAATGTCTATTATTTTATAATCTGATACCAGAAAAACTTCCGTTTGTGAAATGTTTTGCTTAAAATAAATGTTTTTGGTTTGATATTTTGTTATATAATTGCAAAGACATTTATACAAAATTGTGTGGCAAAACAGGAAAACAAACTTAGCTCATTGCTTTTATACAACACAAAGATGATTGAGTTAAATGTAAATGACAGATCACATGTTACTGAATATACAGTATACAGCTTTGCACTTACTAATTGGAAATTCATGCAACGTCCTTGATGGCTGAGGAGTCTGAATGAAAAAGGGAAGAACAGAAAACTGTATTTAGCCTCTTTCTGAACTTGCCACAAAATACTGTTTTAAACGCAACAGAATTTAGCTCAAAATGTGTCAAAAATAGAGTTTCAGTACAGCCAGGTTTTTTGGAAAACCAAACAGGAATATGTGACTCTGAGCAGCTGGGTTGCTACATACCCGTCTGCGGGACGTCTCCACTGTCATCCCTGCAGCACTCAAAGCAGCGATTCTTTTCTGAATGTCTGTAACCTTTACATGAAGAAAAGAGCAATGGTTAACAAACAGTTAAGGCAAGATATGGAGATTTGCGACTCTTTTGGAAGAAGGAATGTGGAGTAAATTTGAATGTTTAGACTGAGTGGCATACCCCACTTTGAGTGCTCTGGACGCTGGCCACTGCCATTGCAACTTTACCCTCCAGTTGCGACAGCTCACAGCTGGTTGTGTTGCTAAACTCAAAGGACCTTACCCTCTTCTGCTTTTTAAAGGATTTAGGTACGCTTGGCTTTCCTTTCTGAAGTATACAATTAGAAAGATCAGAAGAGTGTGTTCAAAGCAAACGACTGTTAAACTATTTGTAAGAAATATGAATAAATATTCACACTTTATGTTTAACAGTTCTTTAGTGCTAGATTCTGACTGTTTCCATACTCTTACCCACTCAACCTCAAGAGACCATTCGTGTCTGACATTCCCAGGTCCAGCTGAAGCTCCTCTCATAGCTGGAGCATGATAAACTGCCCCTTTCTTTGGAGAGTCCTCTGAAGGTCTCATCGCATCCTCCTCATCAGATGAGCCTTTGTCACTTATTTTTTCAGTAAGTTCTTCAAGCTTTTTCCTGAGCTCAAGCTCCTCTAAATCAGCTGGAGACAGATCCTCCTCTTTCTGCTCCACCTAAAGGGAGAGTAGAAGAACTACATGAGGATTTAAAGTAAGGAGGGTCTTCATGCGATATGTCCTATTGATAGAAGTGTTTCAGAGATGCTAATTTACGTTTTATGGACTTATCCAGAAATGTTGATGACATGTTTCTCCTTTTCAGGGTGAAATTACCATTCATATACCATTCAAAAGTTTGTGGTCACTAAGATGGTTTTTGTTGTTGTTGTTTTTGTTTTTGAAGAAATTAATACTTTAATTCAGCAAAGATGCATTAAATTGATCAAACAGTAAAGACTTTTAAATTCTTATATAAACATTCTCAAAGAAATGCTGTTCTTTTGACTTTTCTATTGAATCCTACAATTTTGCATATTTAATGAATCCTGCAAGAAATGAGGCAGCACAGCTTTTTTCAACATTGATAATAAAAAATAT